TCTCCGTCAGGAACAACAATGCTGGCCGTGCTGTCTCAAGATGGTGGTGGACAGCGTTGAGGTTAGAGTGGAGTCCGCGTATGTTGCAGAACTCGACCTCAGACAGCGTTGAAGGCGTGGGGGTGTGCACCGCTGAACGTCCAAACTTTGTTTTAGGAGCTGCCATTATGGAAGTGAAAAAGAGACGTGAAACGAGTGGACGTTGTCGCGACAAGACCGGGCAAATTAGGGAGGCATGTTTCCCCGAATGATTGCCTGCAGAGGATATACGCCGACCCGCCGGACGGAAGGGCCCCCGCACCCCCCCGGAAGTGGCCGCCGGGACCCCACGCCCCGGTCACCAACCGGCACGACGGTCCACCCCGAGATTATGCGTGACATGATGGGGCAGCCTCGCGAACTGGTTAGGAACGCTCGGGCCCCTGTACTGTGCCACGGGCGGCCAGCGGGACAGCCGTTTCTACGGGTCTCCCTGGCCGGCGGGTCGATGCAGTCCTCCCGGCATCGGTTCCACGGATGCCTAGCCCTGGACCGAATCCGTCGCGACAACCTCCACTCGAGCCCTGGTTGTACGCTGGCTGACCCCGAAACGCGCGAGAAGCACTTCACGGGTTTTTCACCATGCGCACGGTGGTAACAAACCAGGCGGGTGTTAGGCACCCTACCACCAGCAGAGCGGATGGAAGCTCCGATATCCCTTTGTCGCCTCTTACGACACCCTCGGGAAGAGAAGGGGCGGTGAGTTGTATTCTTTCTCCGTCACCGCACGGATAATTTTATGTGGTTATCTCGTTTTAATTCACAATTAATACCGCCTAACAGGTATGAATATTTAAACTTTGTTAAAATAAATAAATATAACAAATAACAGGTCATTACCAAATTTAACGTTTATAAAAATCGTCTCTGCTCTGCCATAAAATGAGTTCAAAAAGTCATTGCAGTTGGGTGACTGTTTCAAGTTTCAAAGAAAACTTTTCAATCTATTTGGCATTGTTTTTTTACTTAGTTTATATATAAATTATATAAATTTGGATTTAATTTTTTTTAGATGCTTTTATTTTGAGATCTACTGCAATATAGATAATTAAAGGCTTTTTTTCACATTTAAAAATGGCGCCCTACCTCCGCAATCTTTTTATTTTTATTCTGTGGCTGTTTACGTTTTACACTGCACAATATTGTATTTTTTTCAAAAACATCATAGACAGTGTTACTCGCTATGATGTAATGATTCACACCCTATGAACAATACCCTATATATCCAAATCTTACGGTAAAACAAACAAATGCACATACATACAAACATACATGAACTCTATAAACATTACACTCTTTGCCAGTCCTGTATAAATCCAACAAATAATTCGTTTAGTGATAAGTAAGAAAATTCGAGCATATTACTTAACACATTGAATGCCAAATAAATGATCAGGTCATCATTGGTTCCCACTATACAAATGGTCTTCTACGTAATATTAAGTACGTACGTAATATTCGGCTCCCTGTTTAAAAATAGCATGTGTGGCGCCTACTACGCAATATTTGTTATACGCAACATTATGTACCTGCTTCTCAAGGTTTTTAAATGTTGCAATCACGAAGGCCCGGAAAGCGTCGAACTCCAGTGACAGAGTGGACAACGCTGATTGTTGAAGTGTATTTGTATTCCTGAGCTTATTCTCAAATGCCGTCATAGGCTCAGAAAAAGATTGTCAGTGTATCAATAGTGCTCCTGATATCTTCCATTTTGGTAGTGCAGTACTTGTTTGATGTGTAAAATAGTGTAGTGAAGTTTAGATCACAGATGTAGTAGAGAGCGAGAGGAGAAAACAACTGTAGGTACTACTCACTATTAGTACATAAAATTTATCACTTATTCTACTCAAAATAAAATGTATTTTATTTTTAAAATTAAATAATTCAAGACCTTGTCAAAAACAGATGTTAACGGTTTTTAACTACCCCCGAAAAAAAAATGACTATTTCATCTTCTGTCCCTTTTCCACCTAGATCACGTTCCTGCCACGTCAAGTAAGTTTTTAGGGTTCCGTACCTCAAAAGGAAAAAAACGGAATCCTTATAGGATCACTTTGTTGTAAATCCGTTCGTCAGTCCGTCTGTCAAGACCGTTTTTCTCAGGAACGCGTAGAGGTATCAAACTGAAATTCATATCTGATACTCAGGTCTACTGTCCCTTGGAGCTGTGAAAAAATCAAACTTCTAAGCCACAGTAATCAAAAGATACAGCCGTTTACGCCGCAAATTTCCACAAATTTTCGAAACTCACACGGGAATCAAAACCTACAGGGTACTTCCCGCGAACTTAGAATTTTGAAATTTGGTACGAAGTAACGTCGTATAGTACAGAAAAAGGAAAAAATTGCGAAAACCGTAAATTTTTAGTTACATCATATAATATTTTTTTTTTAATAATTATTAAAATGTACCTAAAGGTTTGTACGGAAACCTCGGTGTGCGAGTCCGACTCGCACTTGACCGGTTTTTTATATAATTATCGATCTCATTAGTTGTGAAATAAAAAAAAAATCATTATCTCATTATAAAACTGTACTTTTTTGCCTCAAAGTGCCTAAAAAAATCTTGATTTTGAAAAGTTTTTACATAATAAAGTTACTTATTTTCCATGTCATGTCTTATTTGAGATACCAACGAACCTATCAACTCCCTTTTTAGGAGGCCTAATTACACAAACACACATATAAACCGTAAGAAATGGCCCAATAGCATCATTAGTATCTACGCAATATTGCGTAGTTGGTATTCAATGTGTTAATTAAGCAGTTATAGGCATAAAAATATCATAATAGTAGTTTATGATACTGTTGCATAATAAGGGTTCTTATAACATGAGCGTGTTATAAAAAAACGAGCCGTAGGCGAGTTTTTTTATAATATCACACGAGTGTTAAAAGACCAAGTTATGTACAGTGTCATACACTACTTTATCTAGGGACACGATATCGAATAGAAAGAATCGATACTGTACTCACGAGTAGTATCGGTAAAAAAGTATCGTACTCGTAAAAGTATCGAAACAAAAGTATCGATACTTCAAAGTATTATAATCAAAAACAAAAAAAGGACATGTAAATTCACAAATTGCTATATTATATAATGAAAATAAAATAGCTGTGATTTCTGACACTAAAAAAGTGTTCATTAATATTACATTCATAATTAAAATGTTGATTAAAAAGATCGTAATCTTAAACAATTTAAAAGTATGAAACTTTTCAGATTTTTTTTCAAATTAAACTTACTTTTCTTGAATTTTAATCATTAAAAAACATCATACCCACATAAGTTAAGTTGAATCTGACACGTAGTTAACGGCTGCCATTGGCATGCTTCACTCAAGATTATAATTATAGAAGAGGTTACGTCCGTCTTTTTTTCAGGTGGTTTCAAATAGGTATACACAGCATAGACAGAATAATAGTGGTACCTACACTTGAATAAATCAAATAAGGTCAAGCGAAAAGCACAATAAACGGCGAATCAATCACAGTTCCTAACAATATGGTCGCTAAATAAATAACTATGAAATAAAACAAAGCGCAAAATAAACACAGTCACAGATTGGAAAGAATTTGAATATGTCAGTTACTGACTTTATAACAAAGCAATAGGGCATTTGACAGTATTAAAAATAAAGTGCCAAAATAACGAACAGGATATTAGTTTTCTTATCTATAGTCACGTAACCCAAAACGCTTGGGATTGGCGGAGCCTAAAATGACGTCACACGCAAGTAAACTTCCGGTCAAAGGGACATTACACTGTATCCTTTGACGTTTTAATAACAGTCGTGTGACGTCACACACTAGTAAGACGCCATATTGTCCAGAGAAACGTTTTCGCGGCAACTTGAAAATGGAGTTTTTGATTTGGTTATTTTTACTGAAATACACGACAGAATGATGAATATCCACTTTTTACGGACTCCATAAACATTAGTCAATAACGTGAGATCGTTGCCTAAAACTTGTCAAATACCGTATGGAACGTTTTAGAAGGTTTGCTATTATTTAACAAGATGGCGTTGCCATCAATATGAGGCGCTTATCCAAAATTTTAAAGGTATCGATGCTTGCCAAAAACTACTCATTAAGTAAAAGTATCGAATACAAAGTATCGAGTACAAAAGTATTGGTATCGAAAGGAAAAGTACTCGATACCACAAAGTATCGATACTTTTTTCGTGTCCCTAACTTTATCTAGTCTCATACTATAATAATAAAAATACATAGAGCTACGACCAACTGAGTGCAGCAATCCCAGTTTTTTTCTAAACTATATTGCTGGAAAATGCACGACGCAGAGAGTTGGCATTAACAAATTTGGAGCTTTAGGCAAAGTTATTGCCTAACCTTACTAACCAACCCCGAATTGTACACAGGACACTGCTTTCGCCGAACATCTGCGACCTTGCTAGTTGACGCTGGTGGAGATATAACGGCACTAAAGCGACACGGTGGCTGGAAGTCAACGACAGTTGCAGAAGGCTTTATAGATGATCCAATGACTAACAAGATCGCTGTATCCAATTCAATACTTAACAGTATTGAAAATAATAGAAATGAGGTCAACATTAACATACCCTCTCTGAGTACCTCCAATAACGCTTCCTGTCCGGTTCAAATTCAGTTTTATAATTGTAATATTCAGAACATCAATAATTATTACAAGTAAAAATAAATTTGTTGTTATATTCAGCGTTTTATTTGCAATATTGCTTTACGTATTAAGTATGAGAGTAGATAAAGTAGTGTATGACACTGTACATAACTTGGTCTTTTATCACTCGTGTGATACTATAAAAAAACTCATATTATAAGAACCCTTATTATGCAACAGTATCATAAAACTACTATTTTTTTATTATTTTTGGCCTGTACGTAATGTTTGTCATTAGCATTTTGTTTTCAGTTTTAGAATCTTTGTATTATAGTATCAGAGTAAATAAAGGCGATTATCGCAAAGATACAACTGATATTGAACGAATTATCTACGAGACGTGGTGCGTTCAATATCATTTTTATTGTTCATATTCAATTTAGTCTCGGTCAAGATGTGGACGAGGTGGTTGTTGTTGTTAGTGGCAATCACGATTGTTAGTTCAGAAGAGCGCATAGAACGAATAGTGCAGACACCTCAAGGACCTGTTAGAGGTTTCAAAGAACCTGAATATGACATATTTGCATTCTACGGCATTCCCTTTGCTTCAGCACCTACTGGGCCGCACAAGTTCTCTGTAAGTTCTTTAGAAATACCATCCTATTATCCTACTAATATTATAAATGTGAAAGTTTGTTACTTAATCACCAAAAAACTACTGAACGGATTTGGATGAAATTTGATTAGTTCGAATAGTTTATGACCTGGATTGAGACAGACATAGGATACTTTTTATTCCAAAAAATGTCAGGTCCCTGTTAGATTCCCAAAAAACGTTAACGCGGTCGAAGTCGCGGGTGACCGCTAATGACAAATAAAGAATCCTACTTATAATATTGTTAATTTGAAAGTTTGCATGTTTTTTATTCAATCATGCTTTTGCATGGCTGAACAGATTTGGATAAAATTTTGCACACAGACAACTTTATTACCCAAAAAGAGACATAGGATACTTTTTATCCCAGAGAGTCTAGGTTCTCGAAGTATTTTCAAAAACCTAAAGTTAACACGGACGAAGCAGCGAGTGACCGCTAGTATTCTCATAACAAAACAAATCATTGTTTAAGATAACAGATTTTGTAGGTCCTCTGGTCGTAAATCAATTTACTAAAACTTAATAGAATGTAATATGAACTTAAAGAAAGTACTTCTGTTGTAAATTATTGATTTTTACTACATAGGACATTCTATAACTTCTTATAACTGACCACATACAATAAAAATATTTGTGTATAATTGCAAAATCTCAAATGTACTAAGGCTAAAAATGAACCACGTCACTTGATTCAAAGTCCATGCTTACCGGATCAATGAAATAAGAATCATTAGAAATGTCGACAATATTCATTTCCAGAAGAAACAATTCTATAGTATAATAAGCATGCTTCTAAGGTCACCACAAAGAAGTGGCCCAAATTTTTTATTGATCCCCCTTTGTTATCAATTTCAGGCACCCTACCCTCCCCCAGCGTGGCTACAAACATTTGACGCAATTGATAAAGGTGTAATATGTCCACAGTATAAAGATGTCTTGTTTCAAAACAAATCTATGCAAGAGAACTGCTTAATTACAAACGTGTATGTACCAGATACGGACAAAAAGAAACTACCAGTAGTAGTATATATTCATGGTGGTGCTTTCCAGCTCGGTTTTTCAAATCTGGCTGTCCCAAAAAATCTAGTGAAAAGTAAAAAAATCATAGCAATTACATTTAATTATCGTCTAGGTGCACATGGATTTTTATGCCTTGGTACTAAAGATGTTCCCGGTAATGCTGGGCTGAAGGATCAAATTGCACTGCTCCAGTGGGTAAAGAAACATATATCAAGTTATGGTGGAAATCCAGAAGACGTAACTCTTGCTGGTTATAGTGCTGGATCTTCGTCTGCCGATTTACTAATGTTGTCATCTGCTGCAAAGGATCTCTTCAATAAAGTAATACCCGAAAGCGGGGCTAACCTTTCACCATTCGCCATCCAGATTGATCCTCTTAAAACCGCAAAGGACTATGCAAAATCTGTAGGTTTCGATAACGTTGACGACCTTAATGCATTGGAAGAGTTTTATAAGACAGCTTCTTATGATGTTTTGACAAAAGATTCTTTCTTAAACAGAACCGATAATAATTTCTTTTTTGTGCCATGTATAGAACGTATTACTGGAGCTGGTAGCGTTCTCAGTGAGAGTCCATATAACATTTTAAAGAAGGGAAAATATAGAAAAATACCAGTATTATATGGTTTTGCTAATATGGAGGGCTTGTTTCGTCTGCCCTGGTTCGAAGTGTGGAAGGACAAAATGAATGAAAATTTTGTCGAGTTCCTTCCAACAGACTTGACGTTTGATAATGATAAAGAAAAAGAAGAAGTTATCAAAGAAATCAAAGACTTTTATTTTGACAGTATGCCGGTGAGTGGGGAGAATATTTTATCTTATATAGAATATTTTACTGATACCATTTTTGCATTTCCCACTTTAAGAGCAGCCAGACTACATGCTGAAGCTGGTCATGATAAAGTACATTTATATGAATACAACTATGTAGATGAGTCAGCGCCTGTGATACCTCATACAAATAACCTGAAGGGAGCATATCACTGCAGTCAAACTCAGGCAGTAATGGATGGATCTGTTTGGTTAAATAACAATGAAACGGATATACCGGAAGAATTTTCCAGAGTAAAGAAGCTAATGCGAGATGTATGGATCAACTTTATAATTACCGGGTAAGTTCCACTTTTTCATGTGTTTCGATCATTGTAATTAGCATCAAGACTTCAAGTCTTGTTAAGAAAAAAGAATTAAAAACTATCTTTCGTCTAATGGAATGGAATCGACGAAAATATCAGCATTTTAAATTCTACCGATTATTATTAATAGATTATTGTAAATAGCATCCAGAAGTCGTCTTGTTAAAAAAAAGAGAAAAAATATCTTTTATCATAAGGGATTGACGAAAATATTAGCATACTTAATTCTAAACAATCAAGAAAGAAAGAGAATGTCGGTTGTAGCGAGAAGAAAATCCGGCCAAGTGAGAATCGGACTCGCGCTCGAAGGGTTCCGTACCATTATATTATTATCTTTCGTAGTTTTTTCTGTAATCTGCTAGAAAAGAGCTACATTCCATATTTTTGTCAAATTTTCAGACGCAATAGTTTTACAAAAGTTAGAAGTCAACCTTCCTTGTCTCCCAGAAAAGGAGGGACGGCAGACCTGTAAACCCCCCCCCCCCCCTAAACTAACCGCCATATTCGTAATTTATTTATTGACTTTATTCTTCCTCAACTTGATCGGTCAAATAGATTCTTTTCTATTATTATTATTATCTCATTTATTCAATTGAATTTAACAGTTAGGTTTTTTATAAAATATTTATAAAAGTTGTACAAAAATGTAAATACAAAAATAAACATCATAAAAAACCTTACCTAGAAGGCCACCAGCAGCGGGGCTAGGTCCAAGCTACCGGTGGTTAGGGCCGCAGAGAGAGAAACAGCCTGACGATGATTTATTTTTATTATTATTGTATATTCTAAATAGAGCAAACCGAGTGATAAGAATTCCGTTTGTGCCAATTGAACGGAACCCTAAAAATAAAAACATTTTCAACTAAAAGATAAACAGACTTCATGGTTTCACCATAACAGCTCTCCGCGCATGTCACTAGGGCACAAAGATTTTTTATTAATTATAATAATTAATCCCGAGAGGACCTCAAGGGCGCAAGTGGTTAGCGCGTTCGGCTGTGATCGTTCAGGTTAAGTAACTTTCGCAGTAGTCGGTCATTGCAAGTGTGACCAAAATTACTATCCCAAGTTCTTCCGTGCTTCGGAATCCGTTGGTCCCGCCTGCGTCTGAAGTCATTAGCACCCACCAATCCGCACTGGGCCCGTGTGGTGTGTCATGGCCCAAACTCCATATCCAATCCATAGGGAAGGCCTGTGCCCCAGCAGTGGCGGACATTAATAGGCTGATGACGATGATGAATTAAACCCCATCGATTTCCCAACTAAAACAATAATGTCTCTTTTTGAGTACGAATGAACAAATCCACACACATTCTGTGTCTATAGCAGGGTGGGGACGGTGTCCGTACAAAATCACTCATGGTCTTTTAATTTATCAAATAATCAAAATGTGATCCATTCTGTAGCATAAAAAATCCTCACTCTTTTAATAATCTCTTTGCCGGTCGATTTACTTAACTTTACATGGTAATAATACGTCTATGTTCATTTTGTAACTCGCACATTGTCCTACTGGTTCTTTTAAACTTAATCTTTTATATTACCCCACAAAAAAGTCAGTCGCATTGTAATTATTGTGACTTGACAAAGAAATGCATACTAGTACATAAAACAGTTTGTTTATGTATCGTTTTTTTTTTCACGTACTTATTTCTTATTAGAAATACTTGTATTATTATTAGGTCAGTAGATACTAGTGTAAGGTTGAAATGATAACATTTGTTGTTGGAAGCACGGAGAAGACAGACGAAATTTTCCTAAACCTTAGAATTTCTAATTTAATGATGATTATGATTTGAATATTGTGATTTTATTAGAAATATATGACATTACTTATTAGTGTAAAGCATAAAATATAGTGTATTTTACATGTTTCAGTAAGTACATTACACATTTCGACAAAAGCATTGCTTATTTGGTAGTTATTTTCGGAACACATTGTGTCATGGTGACGCGTGTTTACATTTAGGTACTACTACTACTACTACTACTACTACCTACTGTGTATTAACCGAACTAATTAAAAATAAGATCTCACGCCTCTAGTGAGGCTATATTTACCGAGACGGATTTTACGCGCTGATCGAAGCATTGATGGCACACCTATAAAAAGGGTAACAGAAGATAGGGACTTAGGAGTGAAATTCACAGCAGACTTATTATTTCGAGATCATGTTGTTGACGTTTGTAAAAAAGCTTTTAAAACTTTAGGTTTCATCTTACGAACTGTAAATGTACGAATGTACATTCCGTCGTCGCTTTTTATAATACATTAGTTAGGAGTCATCTAGAATGTAACGCTATGATTGGGCCCCCCACGAACAAAAGTAAAATCTTATGTTATGGAGAGAGAGTGCAAAATTACTTTGTAAGATGTATGTATTTAAAACTATATGGAGTATCCCTTTTATCCATTACAACATCCTACATTATTTGTTCTGGGTATGGTTGGTTAAAGTCAGCTTAGCGTTAGGAGAGAATTGAAGCTAGTTATTTATTTCTAAGTTGCTTCGGGGTAAGATATTTAATCCGGGTATACTAAGGATGATTGGTTTAAGTGTTCCAGATGAATACATTTGGCGTCGGCGGCGGCCGGGCCTGTTGGTAATTCCTACTGGAAGCACTAAATTATTGTGTGAGGCCAAGGGCGGATCCAGCTTTGGCGCCAGGGGGGGGGGGGGGGGTCATATACTCGTGGTCAAGTCACAGTGGGTACAGATTGTTAAGTGGGTACAGATAGACCCAGCCCAGGGTCCCCCCGGATCCGCCCTTGAGTGAGGCTCCACTGACGTGTGCATTGCGCCCAATCAACAGAATTAATAAAAAAGTCCATTCGTTTGTGCTCTGAGTGAATTCATAAAACTAGCTGAGTGGATCATCAGTTTTAATCAATTATTTTTCCAATGTGTTTGTTAATAAGTATTATAATGTAATTTTTAAATGGTTGTATGCATTGACCTGTACTGAAAGATATAAGTATTTGATATAAATAAATAAATTTAAAATGCTATGTAGTACAGTCATTTGGTAGTTTTACCTGGAAAGTTTTCCGGGAGTTTTCAAAATAGGTAATTTTATAGATTGTGAGGTGCTCTTTCCGAATTTTGACTCTGCCACCTCGTATTTTTGCCGCTCACGCCGCCATATTGGAAAAGTAGCGCCTAAAGCGTCTCGATAGAGTCTCGCCTAGCGTACACCTGGTCCATCGAGAATAACAAAGCGAGGAAGAATACGCTCAATTTTAGCACATTGAATTGCATGTGGATTAGGCCTATTGGGGATACCACATTAAAAAAACACACTCCACTTTCTCTACCTAAAGGTGGTGTGGAAATTAGTTTTTTTGGCCAAAATGCGCGGAGTACACTTTGCGGCGCTCGTATGCCAAAACTATTGACTTTATGAAAAAAAAAGTTTGTAAATTTATTAAGAGATGAATTTGTACCCTTGTATAGGAATAAATGTCACTACGTTAAAAATCATAAACCTGTTCCATGGTGGAATGAGAATTTTACAAATGCTTTCAAGGAAAGTAAATTAGCATTATATTTATATAGGAAATACCAAACTATTGAGAATTTAATATAGAAAAAAGTCGATTCTAGGAAAAACAAGTGTACGCGACGACCGAAGCGAGAAGAAATAAAGTTTATGTCGAAAAGAGATTGATTTGTAAAATATGTCTATAATTTCACATGTAACGGATGTGTACATTAAAAATGTTATTTCCTTGTTGTTTTATTAGAATGAGTTGGATATCGCAATAATAGAGAGCTTAGCTCATAGTAACTGACTGTAAAATTGATAGTTCAAAGCGATATTCTGTCTCTTTCTCACCAATAATCTTATAAGAATTTGTCTAATCGATCACCGCGACGCCAAGCGGTGGCGCAGGGAAACTGTACTAGAATATGATAGTTCGGACCGATAGGAGGGACAGAGACGATAGGCTGTCTCTTTCTAGCAGTCTTATAAGATTTTGCCTAAGTTGATAGCCTTCGAAAATATTATGTAATTGTGTTTGAATTGGATTGTTTTATATCTTATTAGGAAATAGGTAGATATAGGATTAAGATAGTAAAGTTTTGTGTAGATCGATTTAATTGTTTAGGCATAATTAAGGGAAACGTTAAATATAGTTTTTTATGAATATTTGATAGGTTATAGGTATAATTTTAATAATAAAGCTTTTATTTTGTTTGTATTAATTTAATTAGTTTGTATAGAACGATCTCCTAAAACATTTCGCGCTCCCCTCCCGGCGCACTCAGAGCGCGTGGGTGGGGCAGCGGAGCCCTGTGGCAGGGCGAAGCCCTATGGAGGGGGAAAATATAAATATCGCGGAGACCTATTTTTTGTGCGCCACACCTAAAATATCATGCTTACGGATGCGCAACTGCGCTAAAAATATGCCTATTTGTATGCCTAATGTATATACGTATAGTTTTAAGCTCGCACCTATGTATTTTTTGAATAAATGAAAAATAAAGTATAGCGGGAGTGAGGTAATGGATCGCTGGCCAGCTCAATCCTAGCATATAAAATTCAAGTCGGAACAGGCTCCGACATGCATTCAGCGACAGGCGCTCCTACCCTAAGGAACAGGAAGAAACAAGCGGTTCACTCTGGACCTGAAGCCTCCTCTCACCGGCCATCCATTATCAGCGCCCACCGATTTCTTCAATACCGAACACCAGGGGTTTTATTCACCGAAGCTACAGTCCACTATCGCCGTCAAGACTCCTGCGTGTAATTTCCTCCACCCCGCAGTACGAGTCGGTAACTGTCCGCTACTGCGACAGCCCGGCGTCCCGTACACATAAATTGTAGGCAATTACCTCTAGTTTCATTTTGTATATAACTGTTTTTATCGTAAAATGAGTCGGAAAGGAGATATTGTCAAAAAACTGCTTTTAGGCGCCATTTTTTCAATATGATGGCGCGAGTGGCAAAAATACGAGGTGACAAAGTTGAAATTCGGAAAGAGCATCTCAAAATTTATAATATTACCAATTTTCAAAACTCCCGGTAAACTTTCCAGGTAACCACTGTATTTCTCACCAAATGATTGTAATAATGGTATTTAGGAAAAAAATATCCTTATGATTAACCCTTTCGACGTTTATCATATAATACATATGGTTTCACCTTCAAATTTCACTAGTTTGATTCCCGTTTGGGACAGGCGATTTAAAAAAAATGTGAATACAGTTCTTCTTACAATTAAAAATAAAATGATATCTTCTTTTAGTAAAATATCCTATCTTCAATATTTAATATACTTTCCCCTTGCGATTACAAAAATAATTTTGAAAATCGGCCGTAAATTAACAGAGAAATCGCGTAACCAATATAAAAAAAAACACATACATTCCAATTGAGAACCTTCTCCCTTTTGAAATCAGTTGATAAGAGCTAGGATAATAACAAGCACCATGTTTTTAGAAATCCAGTCCCGCCTGGCTCAAATGTACCAGAGTGGCCTGGTGTCGGCGCAAATGGCTCTCCGCACATGTTGTTAGGGCGCACTGCGGAACTTCGCGGCGCACTTCTGCAGAAGCGCATGGACTTCTGGTATCGCATATACGAGAAACATTACCGTCAGCCAGTACCCCCACCGCCACCACCTCACACCGAATTATAAGTTTAATAACCAAAGGAGTTTTATAGTTTTTAATGTTAAAATAATACCGATTTTTTGTCTGCATTAGCATTTAAGCCACCTGAATTGTTGGGTTTGGAAGTTTGGAATATATTATTATAAAAAATATCTATTCAATTGTCTACTATTTATTTTAATTTGCCTATATCAACGAGAAATTAACAAATTCATATAATAAACACTCTTGGATTTATTAATCAAAACTCGGGTTACAATAATATAATTTAATAAATCTCGAATCACATTAACGCGTTTTTCTATCTGATGCCCGTATATAATGTCCACTTTCTCTTTTCCGGAACGGCGTATGGTAGCTTGCACATCATCGCGCGAATTAGGCTTACGAAAGCGTCGGCGCGACAAGGAATGAACCTTGTTCACTAGCGAAGACGTCGCCTAATATTCTGTAGGTGGGCCGTGGTTTGCCATAACGGCCTCGTAGTCTCGCTATCCCTTCTTTCCACGTAGTAACTGCTGTTCTGACGCTGATCCACCATATGGCGGCGTCACCGGTCAACAGCATTGGTAGGCCATGAGGGGCTTGCTCGTCGCTCCCGTTCGCGCAATCTTTGTAGACTTCGACCGAGTCAATAAACGCTTCGAGTGATTCGTCGCTGGTAGTGGAGCCGCCAACCTCGAAGCGGGCGGTGCATTTTGCAAAATTATCAGCCTGGTATACGGCTGCATCACAATACATACAAGAGCAGTAGCGTAACTCAGCCATTTTCTTGAAATAGATACCTACGACTGAGCGGAGCGCTAGGGTTGGTACCTACAAAATTTAAAACATATTTGTGTAGATTTTTATTGTATGTGTATAGTTACTATTGCCACGTTACGGAATCGAAACGGCGCGGGCGGCGCGGCGCAGCTAGCTTAACTCGGCCAACGACCAGGAGCTCTATTTTTGAATCACTCGCCTTGCTTCGAACGCTCTATTTCTACAAATTTTTATTCGACATAATTAAATCTGTATTTTTGAATCGCTCGACTGCAACGAATGGGTGAGACCACTCGTTGCATAGCGAATGGTGGAGGCCAATGATAGAATAATTGTCAAATTTGTGTCAGACGTCACATTAGTGTCAAAATTATATTTATTAAGATTTCTTGTGTGGTTGGATTTAGCCACTGAGTAAACTATTAGAAACTGTTTTGAAATGAGTGTTGTGACGTTTGAATTTTTCAAATGCCGGCACTTTACTTTGCTATTCATTTTGCTACTAGACGACGATAATCTATCATTGTCATGCTTTATATGAAACGACAAGGGTAGACTGACGTCAAGTTTCTTCTTCTTTTATTATAGCATGACGGCTAATGCATATCAAGTTTATAAACAGCAATCCCGAACAGCTAAGTGAAGTGCCGGTAATATAAACAACAAAATAATTTTTCCTTCCGTTTTCATTGCGGTAATTACCGGTTTTTATTTAGTCTGCGTGAAATGAATAAAATTTTATATTTTGTATTTAACTGGTAACATCGGTGACGAACGATTCAAAAATACGGAAAATCAGTATCGTGCAACTTGAAAGTCAAAGGTGGCTTATGTCGCATGCGACGATACTATGTCAGACGAGTGATTCAAAAATAGAGCTCCAGGATCGGCGGCGCGCGACGTGGCACTGCGTAGATTTGTCTTGTCAAGATTGGTTAGCGGCCGTGTAAATGACGTTTGTCTTTGTGCGTGCGTCAATTCGGGCGCTAGTATGAAGTCGGAGTACTGCTCTTGTATGTATTGTGGCTGCGTCGTGTGTCGGCGCGGGTGAAGACGTTGCTGCGGCATCGGTCATCATAGTCACGTTTCCGGTGTTATTTTCCTTCTCCATTCTCGATTGATAAGTACTCCTCGGTTTTTCAGATTCACTGTTTAGAGTCGTAATTTCTAGCCACGAGTTGGGGCGCTACTATAAGCCACACTCTTGGTTGTATTTAAATCATTTATTAATCAAAACTCTGGTTAAATAATATATAATGAACAAAATAGCAGAGCGTAATTTTTGCCGTTGTCTTAACAGTCTATCTTACACTGTCACGTGTTTTTTTTTTCTAAATGGCTTCGCACGGCTTGTGCATTTAGCCAATGTCAAGTTTTAAAATGTTTACAAATTCT